TGTGATGTGACTTTTTATTTTCCAGATAGTACCATTAGAAGTTTCAAACTTATCTACTTCTTGAAGGTAGAGTTTGCATACTTTACATCAAATGTCTTTGCATTTAAATATGCTAATCTTCTTATTATTTGCTTCAAATTTTGAAGAAGTAAGTCTTCTTAATAAGTTAGGAGGTTGTTTAAAAGCCAATACCGGAAGAATATTAGAAAAAACATTTATGACTCGTTCATTCTGAGATACTTTTAGTAAAAGGTTAGTTTCTGAGATTAAAGGTTGACAATTAAGATTACTATAGAATGTTGTCACTTAAGGAAATATTTCTTTAGACTTCTTTTGTGGCGCTGGTCCTTGTAGTTTTGCATTAGGGAATGCTTAGTCTATAATTACATCAGGATATTCACAATCTTTCAACCATGACTTTAGTTCAGCTTGACAAAGTTTTTCAATTTCGTAAAAACAATTATTCTTTTAGCTAAATTATAAGGAATATTCTTTTTATGTGTAATGGATGATGACTGTTATAGTTTAAGTAGTCACGAGTGTTAGTTTCTTTATAATAAATGTCTGTTTGAATTTTTTTGTAGTTTTTAAGAGTAATTGCAATGTCTAAAAAGTTAATTACACTGTAGGTGTTATCATTTTTAGAAAACTCTTTGCCAAAATCGGTTGTAAAACTAATTGATTCATTTAATTCAGTAAGAGAAATTTTAAAATTTATGATATCAAAATGTTTTGGCCAGATTATAAAACCATCATCAATATATCTGAAATAAAATTTTTTTATATCATCTACTTCACGGTTTGAAAAATACTGAGGTAAGATTACTGGAAAAAGCTTAGTCTTTTCTAGAAACCCAATAGTTAGACAAGCATAATCTGGCACGAAATCTGTACCAGTTGTTTAGTGAAATTTTTTATCGAATATTAAATTATTGTTATTTAAAATAAAAGATGCTGACTCAATTATGAATTCAGGTGTAAATCTTTTATCTATCAATTCTTTATATTTAAATATCCAGAACTTTAGGGCTTCTAAACCAAGATAATGTGGGATGCTTGACAACATCGCATGTCATTATACAACTTTCTGATTCAAACTCTCTTGGAATTTTTCTGAGGAAATCCCAGTCATCTTTAATGAAAGATTTTTGTTTCTTTACAACTGGTGATAAAAATATATGTAAAAACTGGCTCAAACGAGATGTTGGCAAATTTATTCCGGCAATAATTGGTCTACCTTTAAGATCTTTTGGTGGTTTCATTTCAATGAATAAAGAGTTGGACTCTTTTACCTTATTAATGATTTCTTGGCATTTGTGAATTTTAGGAATTACATAGAAATTACTAGATTTCCATTTAAAGTTTGTGATATATTTTATTTCATTTGTCATGAGATATTTATGTTTGTTCATCAGTTTTATAAGATTGCTAAAAACTATTTTATCGGATTCAGTTTTTTTTTTTTTTTTTTAATTTTTTTATTTTACTTCACCTCCTCAAGGCCGAGAAGGCCACTACAGACGAGGAGGCTACTTATTTTGTGGCTATAACCCTCTCTCAACTCTATAACTCCGAAACACGAACCTTGACGAACAAGGCCGCTGCGCAGAGAAACGAGTTGAGCGCGGTACTACCAGGGACGTGGTGGGGATCGAACTCGGAACCACTCGCTTATGAAGCGAGCGCTCTACCACTACACCACTACCGCACTTATTTTATTATATGTATTAAAGGGATCCCTAAGTGCTATAAAGATATGATCTCATATGAAAGAGCATAAAAAAAAATGTTTGATGCATATTATTTTTTCTAAAACGTAATAATGAACACACACTAACAAATTTAATTTTCAAAAAAACGCTTTTCTTCGATTAAAAAAAATGCGTCTTGTCCAAAGTTTATTGACTCAAAAAACTAACGTTTGTACGTCAAATTAAACTAAGTAGACAAAATGTCATTATTGCAAACTCATTAGTTGGTAATTAAATTTAAAAGTAAAGTCGTTTTTTTTCAACTAACTCATAATTACTTACAAGAATAAGTTTTGTAGCATTTTGTGAAAATATATTTGTATATTAAAATTTTTTGTATAATATTAGTTTATATATTTGTGTTATAAGGGCAATTCCACGGCTTAAAATGAATAGAAGTCAAATTTTGAACTCTTTTTAGTCAGTTAAAAACAAATGAATATAGACTTAGACACATGAAAGTTTATTTAAAATATTTCCTTAGTAGAAAAATAATTTTTTTCAGTAATTTTTATGGTTTTAAAAGTGACGGTTACTCTCATTTTTGCTTTATAAAAAAAATAATTATTGTAAAATGTTTTAGTTAAATTAACATTTATGTTAAATTGCTATATTTTTTTGGTTCAAATTGATAAGGTTGAATAGACATTTTATTAGAAGACAGGGCTCAAATTAACGCAAAAAAATCTAATCGCAAAAGAGCAAAATAAAAAAATATTTTTTTTGCTCTCTCCCCCCCCCCCCTCTCTCCTATAGCTCGCGCCGATGTGCGGTAATGGGGGAAAAAATTATCGTCAAGAAATCAAAAAACATCGTCAAAAACTTAATAAAAAATTAGATACCACGTTTTTTATAATTTATTGTTTCTTGAATAAAGGACTAATAAAAGTTTAAATATAATTAAGTTTTTCATTTAAATGGTTGATGTTTTTATTCAATTTTTCTATTTCAAGTTTTCCAATAAAAGATGAAACAAAAAAATTTGGTTTAATAAATCGAATTATACTTCATGTTTAAAATAAGGCTTAAAAACGTTAAAGTAAAAATATTGCTGATTTTTATTTGCATTTTTATACTGTTTGAAAAAAAAAACTAATAAAAAAGAATTAACTAATAATATATTAACTAATAATTATTAGAATTAATAATAATAACAATTAATTATTTTTTATTAGTTTTTTTTTTCAAACAGTATAAAAATGCAAATAAAAGTCAGTATTTTTTTTGCTCTAACGTTTGTAAGCCTTATTTTAAACATGAAGTTTTGATAAACAAAGATAAAAACCAACTTTTCAACTTTTCGCTTTAATGACCTTGTAAAAATTTTCCACGCAAAGATTTAAAGTAATTTAAATTCAATGAGTTTCCACTCATCCGTTTTTTTCACGGGAACGGGAAAGGGACGGGAAAAATAATCACGTGGGCATGCGTAGTATAAGTTTTAATATGTCTGATGGAAAACTACGCATGCTCATGTGATTATTTTTTCCTTTCCTATCCCGTTCCCGTGAAAAAACGGATGAGTGGAAACTCACCTTTATGTTGAAAGAAAATCTCCGCGCAAAAGAGCAAATCATCTATTCATCTATCTATTCAGAATAATAAATTTTGTGTGACGTTCTTTATGATAAAAGCATTACTTTTAAGAATTGCTTAAAAAAATGCTAAGCTAAAAAAAAAGTAATTAATCAACCAAAAAAAAAAAAACAAGTTGCGAAAAGATTTTTTTAAAGAAAAAACTAATCACAAAAGTGTACGTAGCAATTGCGGTTGCGATACGCTTAATACGAGCCCTGTAAGACTTTTTTATAAGTTCTAAACTATTTAAAACTATTACTTAATAACTTTTTTTTAACGACGTCTTTCAACCGAATGCTATTATATTGTTTTTGCAAAACTAATTAATAAACTTGATTAAAAATTAACTATTTAATCACGACTTTTTTTTACTTGAAAATCAAAGTAGATATTCTAAAGTTGTTGTGACGTACTAACGTGATTTTTAACGACTAACAATCCAGTTTCAATTATGAAAAAATAAAATCAAAATGGAGTTGTTTCTTAGTGATTTCGGCAGTTGCTTTTTGTTAGCATGCATTTATTATTACAATTTAGTGAAAAAGAAAAAAAACTTTCATATTTTTTTTTTATGCTCTTTCATATGAGATCATATGTTAGGAGCACTTAGGGATCCCTTTAACAGAAAAAAGATGGTCTTGATAAACAAGTTTGTTAGTATAAAATGTCAAATGCATTACAACTAAAGTATTACCTTTGTCAGCTTTTTTAATGACTATGTCTTTCATTTCTTGTAATTCTTTAATCGCTGCTCTTTCTTGTTTTGTAATGTTATCGATATATTGAACTTTAATAGGTTTAGTTTGTTCAATTTGTGAAATAATTTTGTTTAATTCTGGCAGAGTGGTTTTGGTACAATAATTAGATTTATTTTTAATTATAATAATATCGTTACTTGTAGCTCCATAAAATTTTTCTTTTAGTATAAGTTTCCTAGTAAAATTTTTAATATCTGAATTGATATATAAGAAATTACCATTTGTGGCCAGGCAAAATTTTGGACCTTTGGTGAGAAGAGATATTTGAGAAGATGTCAAGTGTTTGGTGGATAGGTTGATGACAAAAGCTCTACAAGCCCAAGTACAAAAAAATACAACCTTAGGTTGTATTTTTTTGTACTTGGGCTTGTCCAGCTTTTTGACGAAATTGATTTTGTTTTCCTTGAGCTTAACAATAAAAGTTTTTTGTTATCATACGAAAAGTATCTGCACAAACAAAAACATGATACTTCTAATTGATACTTCCTGTGTATTATTAGAATAAAATTTATCAAAATAGTTACTCATAGCAACAATGTGCAATTAAATTTATTTTGTATACAAAAATCTTGCTACAATACTAAAACAGCACTACTGATGATTTTTTGAAAGGCCCCTAGTGCCTAAAGTTTATTTAATTTATTATATAAAAATACTTTGTATTAGTGTATTTTTTTGGAAAATAAAAAAAATATTTTTAATAATAAATATTTTGAGAAAAAAAGATTTACTTTTGTTTACTGGATTGACTATCTTTTGCTTATATATAAACATACATATATATATATATATATATATATATATATATATATATATATATATATATATATATATATATATATATATATATATATATATGTATATACATAAATATATAAATATACTTAAAGAAAATATATTGTAAATAATTTACCTTGCGACCATATAAAGCTTGATAAAAAATAATTCCGACTGACCAAACGTCAACCTAATTGATAATTATTAAGTGAAATTACAATTTATTATAATTAATTTTTTAATTAATTTTTAGTATAAACATACATCACAAAAAAAAAAAAAAATCAAAAAAAATAAACAACTATTTTTGCTAAACCCAGTAAACTGTAGATATTTTTCAAAATTAAAAGTTAGAGTATAATATGTTATGGAATATCAACACAAGGCTACTTAAAATGTGTACAAAATTTGAACATTCGAAACTCGCGAACAAATTTGAATATTTCTGCAGTTTGAAGTTAAATATATTCACTAGATATTCTTATTTCATAATCTGATACTGATTTTGGCAATTAAAATTATATAAATAAAATGGATGGAATTAAAAAAAAAAGACAAACAAAAGCTTATTGGAAATTTTTATTTAGATAACATAGATAAAGGGAAAACATTTACAGTACATCATTTTATGCAAATAAAAGTTGCAAGGCGAACAATTTATAATATTATTAAAAGAGTTGATGACAAAATTGACCTTAAAAAAAAGTCGGGAAGAAAGCACCAAAAAGCTCTGAAATTCAAATAATTTAACAAAAACATTAACTGTTAAAACTTTCGAAAACTTTTTTTTGACTGTCAAATGAGTTTGAAATTATCATGGATGAGGAGTCCTATTTTACATTGAGCAGCCAAAACACATCAGAAAATGATGGCTTTTATAGTCAAGATCAAAACTTTTATAGTCAAGGCAAAACTGAAAATAATATTAAATATAAGTTTAAATTAAAGTTTCAAGCAAAAGGGTTAGTATGGATTGAAATCAGTAGATTCGTTAAATCAAAGTCTTTCTTTGCAATTGAGAATAATACCATTAATGCAAAAATATATTCCGAAAAATGCATTGAAAAAAAACTTGTTCCCTTCATCAATTCGCATCACAAAAATTTAAAATATATATTTTGGCCTGATTGTGCAAGCTGTCATTATACAAAGCTAACAATTGAAACTTATAAGAAGTTTAATACAACCTATGTTTCTAAGGATGATAATTCACCAAATGTACCGCAATTAAGGCTCATTGAGACATTTTGGATTCACTTAAAACAGAGAGTCTATTCCAATGATTTCAAAGCAAAAAATTATAACCACCTGAAAAAGAGAATTTAACTTAAGTTAAGTTTTCTTTTTCAGGTGGTTAAGATTAAGATTTCAGTCCAGAATACTTTGAAAACCTTCTTTGCTTGCTTAAGACTAAAATTCGGTACGCTGTTGATGATGGGACACTTTCAGTTATAAGATGATCTATTATTGCTATCCTTATTTGATCAGTTGTAAAACAATATAATTTGAATGACAATTATAAGCAATTCTTTTTTGTGCAAATTTTTAGTAGCCTCGTGTTAGTGGAAACGTAGTATACAATTACTTTTTACAATAAACATAAATTTAATAAATGTAAACATTTACTAAAATTGAAACAATCAAAAAAAAAATATAATCAAGATAAAAATATTTCTCTGAATCAATAACTTTGCTTTTTGATATTAATGTGATAGAAATGATGCAATGGATTTTTTTTATGTAAAAGTTTGTAAAAAAAATAAAAATAAACCTTTGATGATATTTTTGGAGGTGCTTTTCCGACAAGAAAACATTCTGGAGGTAAATACCAATAAGTACCAGCCCCTTGGGAAGTTAAATCAATACTATCTGATTCAGTATCTTCAGGTAGTATTTTACTTAGCCCGAAATCTGTTAATTTTACATCCCAACTTGCCATACCACTTCCAAGAAGAATATTACCTTAAAAAATAATATTAATAATGAATTGAATCAATAAATAGTTGAAACTATAAATAATAAACAATAATTTAAGTACTAACGAGCTAATATGAAATGAATAGCAGAAAAAATATCCAACATTAAAGAGTTTTTAGTTTGTTATTATTATACCATATTATATATATAATATTATAAAAACATATTATTATACTTTCATAATATTATATATAATATTATAAAAATAATATTTTTTTTAAGTACTTTTTTTTTTTTACAAAACACAATACTTTAAAAAAAAAACTTTTTGCAACAAAACCAAAAACACTTAAACAAGATTTTTTCTATTTTATTTATATTGCAAAACTTGGCCATCAAACTAGATTTGATATTTTATTTGCAAAACTTGGCCATCAAACTAGATTTGATATTTTATTTATATTGCAAAACTTGGCCATCAGACTAGATTTGATGTTTTATTTATATTGCAAAACTTGGCCATCAAACTAGATTTGATATTTTATTTTTATTGCAAAACTTGACAATCAAACTAGATCTGAAATTTTATTTTTTATTGCAAAACTTAGCCATCAAACTTTTGATTTTTTTTATTCACAAATGACTTGGCAATGATTAATATTATGACCAAAAGTAAATCATTTTAAATTGTCTAACGTTTATCAGTCTATTTCAAATGTTTTTAAAATCAATTTACTCTCAACAGAGAGTAACTCTTTTAGTAAAAAATAATTTTTATTTAAAATATAAAATCTTATTTTATTATATTTATATATTTAAAAATATATAAACATAAAATTATTTACAACTACCCATTGAAAAAAAGCTTCTCATGCTTAACACAAAAGATATGTTATATGATAAAATACTCATTTAAAATGTTGAAAATAAAGTTATACAACAAAACTGGGAGACAAAAAAACATCTATTTAATTTTCTTAAAATGGAACAATGGTGTCAAACAACAATGTTGTCAAATCAATTGAAAACAGTAACAGCTCTCATGAATAAATACTCTATTCTGAAAGATTACTTTCTCATTCAGCATGCTTCTTTTTAGACATTTTACTTATCCAACAATGAACTGCTTAAAACTCTTGACTTGAAAACAAAGTGCCCCAATTTAAGTTCTGTGCAATATTGGAAAGCACTTCATTTTAAGTCACTAAACTTTTTTTTTAATTTTAAAAGTTTTTTAAATGAGAGAGGACTTACACACTTCAAATGAGATACTTCAAATATATACTTCAAATGAGAAATACTTCAAATATATACTTCAAATTATATACTTCAAATGAGAGAGGACTTACACACTTCAAATGAGAGAGGACTTACACACTTCAAATGAGAGAGAACTTATACACTATACACACTTATACACTTCAAATGAGATATATAGAAAAGCAAAGCTTGATTCAAATATTTTCTAATATGGATCGGTAAATGTGTTTTAATGGCAAATCAGCCTAACAAATGTATAGCATTATTCATTATATGAATAATTTATGCACATTTACCGATTTACCTAAGTGACACATTTAATAAACATTTCAATCATAACATTAATAACAATCTCTTGTAAAGGAATACAAAATTATTTAAAAGTCAAAATAGAATCAAGAAAAAGTAGATAAAATGAAAAACACTTTGTGATATTGATTAAAAAAAATCTAAAAATTCAAAATTAATATACAAATACATGAGCAGTTAGCAAGTGATCAATAGTTGAAGCATTTCACAATGAAAACAAAATTAATATACAAATACATGAGCAGTCAGCAAGTGATCAATAGCTGAAGCATTTCATGATAAAAACAAAATTATGATGAATGAACTGAATTTGATAGTAAATAACAGAAGTTTCAAAATATTTCTTTTCAAAAAAACAACCCTATTTTGCTAAAACTTGCAATTAAAAGCAATAAAAATTTGACATAAACAATCTTCAACAAAGATATTTTTAACAGATTATAAAGAATTAATTTTGAACTTCTTAAATATTTAACCTTATTGCATATATATATATACACTGATTTCGATAAACTTCGTGAACTACCCATTAAGTGAAAATCATTAGTGAACTACCCGTTAAGTGGAAATCAGTGAATATTAATCCACAATTTAAAAAAGCTCAATTCTTGATGTTGAATTAACATTCAATTTTACTCACTTCTGTACCCTTTAAAAAGGGATTGTGTAAGACTTGATTATGAATTTTGTAAGCGAAAATTATTGTCTTTCAATATATCAAAATAACTTTGTGGAAAAAGATTTTTGTACAATCAATCATATTGGGTGGCATATTTTATCTCAAAAGATATCTTAATATTATTTGTCTCAGGATGTAGGTATAGACCTGTAGATCCGATTTGCTTGAACTTTGCAAAAGTATTTCTGTGTCCATAAAAAATTACAGATAAATTTTAAAGGTAATTGGATTTCTGGTACATTATTAAAACAAATTAAAGCATTTATATAAAAAGAAAAGAATAAGACTCATGTTAGAAAGACATATTTAGTGTTAAGCCAAAATGGTTCTGTTATTGGTTCTTTACTTTTTGTTATTACATTAGTGATTTTCCTAATAATTTTGCACTTAACAACACTTTAATGATGTATGCCAATAACGCAAATGTATCATCAAAGCTAGATTCTGTAACAAGAATTAAACTACTGCAAATAGAACTAAAGAAAGCTAAAAATCAGTCCAATAAGTGATTATTAAAATTTAATTTCAAGAAATGTTTAATTAGACCCTTTGGCAAAAACAATTCAAAAAAGAAATTTTAATTCAAAATATACATTTAATATAGCAATCATTTAAAATAAAAAAATCAAATAACTTTACAGGCAAGTAAAGGAAATAAAATTATAGTGAATTATTAAAACTATATAAAGAACTTTTGTTAGACCTTAAATTGAACTTGCTGTGTCTTAGTGGTTTCCATATATTAAAATAAAATTTGTTTTAAAAAATGATCAGTACCATGCTACTACATTGGAATCATTGTGAAAAAGCAAGATTACTAAAAATATACAGTAGTGGAGTAGTGGTAGAGAGCTCACATTGTAAGCAATAAGTTCTGAATTATATACAAGATTACTACTTATAAATATAATATCTTTTATAAAAGACAAATTAAAAAGGATTTTATTTAGATGTACAAAATATTTAATAGAATTAAGAATTAACATTTCAACTCCATTAAATATTTTAAATATCAAACAGTCAAAAAACTATTGCTAACAAATTATCAATCAACAAAAAGCCATCAAATAAAATATAATGATGAAAAAATAAGTTTTTTACGCAGACTATATTTTAAGAAGCAAAATATCTTTGTATTAAAATCAAATAATAACATTATTGCCAGGGGCAGATCTAGGGGGTATCCTGCAATGCTCAGGATTCACCCATAATAATTTTTTAATTTATTAAAAAATCCTTGTGATGACTTTCAAAAAAGTAAAATAAAGTTAAAGTATACACACACACACACACACACACACACACACACACACACACACACACACACACACATATATATATATATGCGGTAGTGGTGTAGTGGTAGAGCGCTCGCTTCATAAACGAGTGGTTCCAAGTTCGATCCCACCATGTCCCTGGTAGTACCGCGCTCAACTTGTTTCTCCGCGCAGTGGCCTTGTTCGTCAAGGTTCGTGTTTCGGAGTTATAGTGTTGAGAGAGGGTTATAGCCACAAAATAAGTAGCCTCCTTGTCTGTAGTGGCCTTCTCGGCCTTGAGGAGGTGAAGTAAAATAAAATATATATATATATATATATATATATATATATATATAAGTTATACAGTTAAATATATATATATATATATATATATATATATATATATATATATATATATACATATATACATATATACATATATATATATATATATATATATATATATATATATATTTATATATATATAATATATATATATTTATATTTATATATATATAATATATTTATATTTATATATATATATATATATATATATATATATATATATATATATATATATATACATATATACATATATATATATATATATATATATATATATATATATATATATATATATATATATATATATATATATATATATATATATATAATATACATACACACATACATATATATATATATATATATAGTAGTTTATATAGTAGTTTTGCTTTGTTTACTGTAAATAAAGCCAATAAATCCCCATTGTTTCAGGATTTATTTGACCTGATTTTACGGTAAAGAGTAAAAAAAATTTATAGGAACATTTGATCAAAAGGGTTCTCTCGTTTCCATTTATATATAAAATAAATCCTTAAATATTCCAAATAAAGCTTTAATTACTCACATAGAGCCTTAATTATTTGAATAAAAACTTAAATATTCAAACAAAGTTAAATTTAAAATAGTTAATAAATAACGTTAGCTTATATAGTAATTCTGATTGAATTTAGTTTATTTTTATATTCAATTATGGACTCATTAGTATCTAATGCCATTAAAGCCAATCATTTGCTTAATATTAACACATTCAAAGCAGAGCTTTGTAGTAATCTTAAAGTACTAAATAAAACTGTTATAAAAAAGAATCTTCTATTTTTAAGAAATTATGAAATGGAAGCTTTCATTCCAGTGCAAAAAGAAAATGAAGGCTATATTCCTTTGAAGTACCAGTTCAAAAACCTTTGTTTTGTTTTAGTTTGTTTACAAAATATTATTTCTTGTATCTATATATTTATGCATTTATCTATCTGTATATATTATATATACAGATTGATATATAAATAAAGCAAAATAAAGCTTTAAGAAGCTACAGAATAAAACAGCAATACTCAAAGAAAAGAACCAAAGACTATTCAAAATAGAAAAATCTAAATAAAATAAGCTTAAAAAATGGAATATTAAAAAAAGAAAATTGTTGTCAAAAAAATAATACAACTATATATTGTACTTTTTTTGTCTTCTTATTTTCAGTATGT